GCTAACACTATTTCGAAATTCAACCTGTTTTAAAGAAATGTAAAGTTAACCCTCTGCAACTGACGTGGTTAAATTGTTACAATTCAACTGAGGTGTATATTATACCAGACACCATTTCAACTGCAAATATTTTTGTAGAATTAAAGTATAGCGAGCACTATACAGTAAGATACTCGCAGCAGTGATGCTCGTATTTGAAAAATGACGGTATAACACGTGATTTTGTATTTCGCGGTGTCTGTGGGACTACACGTCAGCTGCAGACGGTTAAGCTAACAAAAATTTACAGAGATAAATCCAAACAGCACTTCACGGATTCAAATCTTTTATGTATAATGTAAGTGTAATAACTGCTTTTCATCTATATGGTGCCTACAAGAATGTGGTGGCTCATTCTTTATTATTTTAACTTCGTATTGTCCAATAATTAAGTTAATTATAATTTCTCGACTTATTTTCAAACAATCCTAGAAACAATGGTTCAAGGTAAAGGGCCTTGACTTTACCTGAAGAGGCTCTTGTTAGGTAGCTAGGTCAAGGGTTTGGTACTGAAAGTACTTGGTCACGACTCGTTGAGAGGTTCTCATCGCAACCCTGACTGCTGGAAACTTGGACTAATTAACTAACTTTATAATTTTATTAACTCACTTGAAAACAGCAAGGAGTGTATGATTTTTTGTTGTGTGGTTCACTAAAAATAGACCTGATTCTTAATATTTACCTATGCATACAAAATATTTTTAAATGTTTGTGTTGTGTATATGATCAAAATTAGGTGACATTAAGTGGAAATAATTGTCCGTACCATAATGTTAAGACTCACTAGATACCATTTCAATAATCAACGCAAATATTTATTTTCTATGAATAATCACTGACTCGAAAACCATACTTTACAAAATTCAAAAACAAACAGTATTTGTCGCGTAAAAAACAAAGGTGTTTATGGTGCAAATTCCCTCGTATAGCACACTAATAAAAAGACTGGAGGTACGAAGAAAGAATATAAAACAATAAATCACCACAATAAGCCGTAGGTGCTCAAGAAACAGTAAATAAAACAAGTGCTGTAGTAATTTACCCGAAAACACAAAAGCAGAAGGAATGGGGCTTTTTATACATACATTTTTGATGATGGCACATTTTGGAGCAAAAATATTGTTTAATTCTTTAACACTAAGTTTAACTCGTCGCGTACCGGTTTTGTAGACACAATTATAGAACAATAGGTTGTGGTCACCGGTGACCGCTTGGTGTTTGACAGTTTAATGCCTATTACGTCACGTTTCTTAATCTCCGGAACTCCTTTGGAGATTAAAAGACAGAGATGCTACACACATTTTATCAGTAAGATCGTGTCCAATTTAACTTTTTTTACCGAATAGGAGCTGATGGTACGCGATCAGCCGCCCATGGACACCCTCAACAACAGAGGAGTTACAGGTGCAGTGTGTTACTTCATGTAGCTACTTAAATATTACAGTAAAATTGAAAAACGGTGTCTATGTTGAAAACGACATCTATCTAGAGGTAAATTTTTGTTACCGAAATTTTTGTGTACCTTCGTGAATAAAAGTAATACTTTTCGTAAAGGAAGCTTGCTGAGTGCTCCATGTAGACATTTCTCAGTGCCATTAGCTCTAGATTTTATCTTATACGATGCTACTAAAAGAAAACATTGTGTGTAACTGAAATGAATACTTTCACCTTAAAAACGACGACATTTTGACAAAAAGTTTAAACGATATTTTTACTATTTAAATCTTTACTAAAGTATTTATTTTCTTACATGCAAACTAAATGAGGTCATGCCAATTTTTTTCCCGCCATTATTTTTTCAAATATTTAATCAGATAATAGTAGTCTGTTTCGGCGGAAAAAATTATTAAACAAATATATAATTAATAAAAGTCTGAGCAATCTTCTTGAGTTATAAATGGTGCAACCAACTCGATAGAATCGTCCAATTAGACGGAACCAGACGTAAAATATACTCAAGAAAAAGTATAAAACGAATCATTTGGCTTTACTTTATTTAATTATTAACAAAATTAGCCACATTTGATTTGGTTTTCACTGCTCATTTAGTAATTTATGGCTAATAATGTCACAAAATAACCCAATGATTTCCAATTAAACAAATCTCTTCAAAGCACAACAATACTGAGTTCAATTAGCGAACTACAAACCTAACTAATGTTTAAAATTATGACGTGTTTTACTGTGCAATGCTAAATTCAATGAAGTTTGGAATTCCAATGATAGGTCATTAACTTAATCTTATTGTGTCTGCTTTAATATTAAATTATTTTCAGTCATTCTTGTAAACATACTTATGTGGAAAGCTTGAATTACAAGTAAAATTCGAAGATAAGGTTAACTGTTTTTTAATCTGCCAAAAATTTAACATTATAAACAAAGTAAGACAAACCTCTTTCTTTGGTATTTCTGAGTCTAACATGGTACTGCAATGTATTTAGTTTATAGACTAACCGGCAACATTGTATAAAAGTACCTAATAAAATAAAGTGTCAAGTAGTAAAAACAAAAAGTAAAGAAAGTAGTTTTCATTTCACATCTTGTTGGAGTATAAGTTAGTTTATGACCTACCTCGAGACAGCGACAAAACAGATCATAGGTAAAGAATCAGAAGATATAACATTTTTAACAATGGAATCTTAATCTAATAGAAAAACCTAAAAATATACAATTTTAATAATGGTAGTGTATCAGAACATTGTTATAATAAAATCTAAAGGATTACAAAGGATATACCTAGTTTGAAATACGAGAATCTTTTGGCTAATGTATTATGATCCCTTCAACGTACAGTAAACTATCAGGAACCCACTATAAATTCATCCCATGTCCGTCACAGTCAATTTACTCTAAACATTTGTCCTGGGGCGTACCCATTGTTATGACCCTATGATTACTATAATATTGTAACATCAAACTTGTTACGAAAACATGATGTATAATTATTATATACATGAGAGAAAATTATGTTTGTTTACTGGGTTCTGCCGCTTTCAGAGCACTTATCAGTATAAAGTATACTACCTCTATAATTATAATATGTAGGCTTTATCTGAAAAAGATTACAATAACCTGCAGTATGTTGTTCACAATATCGTGGTGGTCCGGAGGTGTAAAACACCCGCTTCTCATGCATGAGGACACGGGTTCGAAACCTACCAACGTTAAGTCCAATTGTGACTTTTTCGAGTTATGTACTTTCTAAGATTACTTAGACGCCACTGACAAACGGTGAAGGAAAACATCGTGAGGAAATCTAGGCTTATAATTTCTAAATACAAGTTTGGCGTAAGCGTGGCGATTAATGCTCATACTTCCTCCGTGTGAGAAGATGCTTTGCTCAGCAGTGGGCATTTATAGGTTCTGTTAATGTATGTATGTTGGTCGCTTTAAACCCAATCTGGAAATGATTTTAGTACGAATTTGGGATGCTCTTACTGTGCTATAGCCGTCGATATCTTAGGGATTATATTATTATATATTATCATAGATTTTGTGCTTACTTAAATAATATAATTTAAGAAAAGTAAAATTATTGCTCATTTTTCGACGTCAGGTCCACTTTCAAGCTATATTTCACTTAAAACGTATTCGAATATAGAGGTTACGTAACATTTTCAAATAAATAATTTATCAATGTCACAACTCGACATTATAACATAATTTATACGTCTTAATAACTACATTTCACACATGGGACCTTAAATCACAGGCACCGTTAGCAGCTAATTAGTTCTCGAAGCAAAATTACACTTCAAACCATACTTTGTAAACTACCTTTCGATGCAGAGTTAATTTTATATGAAACGCCACACCTGTATGCTCGCTAACATTTCGCAAAATATTTCCGTACGAAAATGTCGAATAATGTAACATAAGTAACTCGTTAATTAAATATACCTAGCTGCTAAATTAAATTTGAGGCAAACAATGCAAATGTGTTAATTGACTGCGCAAACATTCTCTGGAACTGAAATTAGGAACGTGGAGTTATTTCAAAATTCAACGAAAGTTTATAGTACGCATGTGTGAGGAACTGGTTAAAGGTTTGTTTTTTTAAACAGATCGTGTTTTACCGGCTAGAATAGTAGTCTATAAACACATGAGATTTTGAGATTCTAAACTCAAAGGAATACCCAATGAACCGATCAATTAAATAAAAAAACTATCAAATGCAAACTGATAATCACTAAACTGTAACAAAATGTATTTTGTAATTAAACATTCACCATGTACATGTATTATATTTTAAATTCATCCAGTTCATATTTAACGGTATATACTTTAACTAAACGCATTTTGATCCATGGTAGATGGAGTCCACTTTTCAGAAAAAGGTTTTATACTACATTTATTTACCCATAACCTATTTCCAACAAAGAAAAACCATTTTTCATTCACATTTAAATCCAAAGTCAAAGCTATTACGGCTATATACTGTTTAGTGCTTATACTAAATCACAAATAGGACCGCGCAGAAACGTATTTACAACAGCTTTGCGGTTGACTGGCACTGTGAAACCGCTCACAAAGCTTTAACTAACCCCTTTAATGCAGAACTAGGCTTAGAACTTACCTAACGATAGAGGATCAATAAGTTTACTGAGTTCATAGATTAACATGATCCGTTTAAAATTACAGTTATATGGTTAAAATCCCTTCTGGTTATCATTGTATATCATGGTATCATAAAGTATGCATACTAATTTAAGACTAAGAATTGTTTTTGCTACGTTTAAGTATTTTTTACAATTGTTGACCAATTCACGTCACGCGAAAACCGTAGATCATTAATTGTCAAAATTGTCTGTCGACCCCATGAATTTGCTAATTTACAGAAATCAAGGGAAACAAATCGTTTCGACGCAACATAAATGAGTTTTTTGTCTATAAAAACTGTCACAACGTAAACAATAAGTACGAACTTGAATTCAGAAATCATCATAGCTGTACAAGCTCACCGTATTTACTCAGCAGCTGCTCACGTCTATCAATTGACTCGAATTACTGAAACAAAGAAAAAATATATCAATATAAAGTGACAGATATCCTAGACTACAATCAGACTGAGTACTTGAACTATTATTTACAAAAAGACTCAGGCTTTTACTGAAATTGATGTAGACATCAAAATAATAATACAATAGGTTAATAAAAAAATTAGGTAATGTCCCTTTTTATTCCATATGTCTATCATTAATTGTATATGTAAGTAGATAATTAAAACAAAAACCATTTCTGGACTATGAATCTCTTCTATACGAGGAGAATTGCCATAATAAATATTCTTTATATATCTAATAAAAACTGTAAGATACCTAGTTCCCCAAAACAATTAATATTTTTAACCGACTTCCTAAAAAGAAGGAGGTTATCAATTCGGCTGTATGTTTTTTTTTGTGTATGTTACCCGATTACTCCGGCGTTTGTGGACGGATTTTGATGATTCTTTTTTTGTTGAAAAGGTTATATTCTCGGGGTGCCCCATTTCCACCAGCTTACGATCTGATGATGGGATTCCAAGGAAACCAAGGAAAACTTTTCAAAATTGTATAAGTGGCGAGAGCTTGTGTTAACTCGTCGAGTACCGGTTTTGTAGACACAATTATAGAACAATAGGTTGCGGTCACCGGTGACCGCTTGGTGTTTGACAGTTTAATTTTTTGATATAGTATTTAAAACTACTATAATTTGATAAAAGTATGGAGTTGATCTGATTATGGAGTCAAAAGACAGCTGAAGGAACTCCTCAAGAATTTGTAGCAATGACCCCGTGTTTGGGCTTAAATTATTTGTATTGAGAAGATCTTTACATCTAAATCTCACCTATTAGTAGGTGGGTGACCTATAAGTACGTATGACTAATAATAGTTATTTTTTGCTTTTTAGTTTTGACCTTTTGCTTGGTTTTAGGTTTTGGTATTTGAAGTCGGTTTTTTTAATGAGCATGATGCACTGCCTCGTTTCCTTCTTACTTAAATTATGTTACTTGCATCTACTTCTAAGTACATAATTTATTTTCGTATGCATTCGTAGATATTCAAAAAACTTACTCATACTCATACTGGAATTCGACAAAACATTCTAAGAATGTGAACCAACACGACATGTGTGTGAAGACACGTTCCACTGACATTACTTATGTACTACGTATTAAATAATTTATGTTTTTATCTAGCGATACGGTCAGCGTCTTCATATATGAACATGAACTGACCAAATTGAAGTTCAACATTTTATCAAAAGAATTTTCCTAAAATATTAAATACTGTGACGAGTCTAAGATATATTTTTTAAATCATGTATTAAATTGGTAAAAAGTGGGTTTTACTATCTTATAATCCAAAATAGTTTCCCTAATGTCACCGTATTTAAAAGAATTTGCAGCTTTATTATTAATATTTTTTCTTCTTTTCATAAACTAGGACAATAATTATGGGATTTTATTCTAAATGAGAGCAGAGGTTGCAATATATGGATTGCAAATAGATTGCAGGATGTATACCTCTATATATATACATATCGATAGTTGATAGACATACATATTATGTATTTGATATCGCATTTTTATTTACTCTGATTTATTAGAGAATAATACGTTTTATAGAATTTTCTATTAAAACTTTTAGATACACCCAGTCCTATAAATTTTGCCACCGAAGTCTACATTTGGTTGATCATACTTTTTTCCATAAAAACAACGTTGTACACAATCTTCAGCAAAAAATAAATAAACTATATTACTTTCAGTTCATCTTATGGTACACCGTACCACCCACGTCTTTTTCAGTAATAAATTAATGTAACAGACAGCTAAATTTAGACGGATATGTTCTACAAATGACTGCTCATAGTCAAGTCACAGAAGTAACGAATCGCTTTTTCCTGGAATCATTCTGGTTTCCACTTCATCTGCTAATTAGACGCATCATACGGTACTTTGTGGTTCAAATGAGTGAAGGAAAGGGGGCGAGGAATCATTTACCTCTGGATGTCGTTTAGAACTCGCATTGCTTTTTCTGTAATTCTGTTTGATGTTTGTGCCTAGTGCAACCGTTTTGTTGGTTAGGATGAAATACTTTGTTTTTGGTGGTGTATATGCTGTTATTTGACCTCTTTTAATTTTTATTCTTCGTAATTTTTAAACTTAAAATGTAAGTTCTTCTGTAAAAAAACATGAATCAGTTTACCATTTGGGTACATTGGCATTAACTACTATTAATTTTTGTTTGTATCATATAATATCATTTGTAGAAAAAAAAATATGAAAAAGATCTTAAAGCATCTTTCAATTTCACATGTAACAGTTTATAATCACAGAACTAACCAACAGAAACTACTGCTAAAGTGAAATCTTGTATAAACTTAGGAATGACCTTGAAACTACCTGGCAACTGATAACATTATTGTTACATTGTTCAAGTTCTACTTAACGTTTGTATTAGGGCTGAGATCCCATCTTGTTGAAATCTACGGCGAGATGATCTGACTTTGTAAGGACAGAAAGATTATAATCGCACTGAAAATTGCTTGTTTGTAACTTTAGTTCTATTGGCACAAAATCGTAACAATGTAATCTTCCTCGCAAATCGTGGTTGTACAATGGTTTAAAGTCAGAAGGAAATCCATTCAGTCATTTTAGAGTTTATAGTATTCAGAAGGATCGGACTTACATAACATAGGGTTTTAATTTACAGGCTGTGCCATATTTATAGTTAATTGTATTAGTTGAATGGAAATCGGTTTTCATCGAATAGTAAGACAGAAGTATAACACTCAGATCTTTTTGCTAAATAAATATCTCATTATTTGTGCAGATAGAAAATATTTCTTTCATTTTTCTGTACACTAAGAACAATACAGACTTTGTAAGTAAAAGTGCTAGCTGACCTGGTTGTAAAAAGACAAGAACAAAAAGGAAAAAGTGAGGAGAAACAAAAAATACAAACGTCCTTACTTGAAGTCCTTATAAAAAAATGAGAGGTCCTCAAGGGTCTTGTTGACGCAAAGGTTAAGGGTGTGCTTTTGCTAAAATGTGAATACACAAGTGAACATTTCGATCAAGATACTTTTGTTTTTGTGTACAAAAATAAATGCTTTATGATCCCTTCATGGTAACTAAGCTTATTAAAGGGAATATTCTGGGAAGCCTCGAGAGTTATAAACTGATACAAGAATCTTCAATAGCAACAAATAGTAGGTAATGCTCGCGAATATAATGTTTTTGTAAAACAATTTGCGATTTATAGTATAGAAAAGTGATTTTTGAAGAAGTGGGTAAGTGAAATTGGATGTTTGTAAACGCACCTAAGATACATGAGAAAAGGGGCAACGTTTTTAAAAAGAAATAGTATTCCGTTAATCAGTAATTTCTATAAACTCATAACAGCTTGTACCTCAGTTACAAATAATGTTAAAAACCTCCCTCAGTTTTGTATCAAGAATAAAATACGTAAACATCCACCTGTTCAAAAAAATCCGTTTCATGTTTCATAAGGTTTGATATATTCTAGTTTGAAGTAACAAATAGCTTCAATAACATACTAAATGGGAGCATAAACTACACATGCCGACAATTCAGTGGCGGATGTACTGAGATCTTCGTGAAAGGGGTTCTTATGGATTTCCGAATACCATCACGAACCTCTATAGGGTTCCGAAGAAAATTATTAACAAAGGGTTGAATGGTTTTTCTCTCTTCCAAGTTTCCTTTATTGGAAGAAAGGTAATATGGATGTTATTAAAAACAAATGCAGTGTAGTGTGTGATTTGGTATTTCGAATGTAGTTTTATTTTGGATTTATAGTGATTTTTTTCTTCTCATGAGTAATGGATCCAAATTAAAGAGGTTCCTATTATTTTTTTTTATTTTTTCATCTGAACATTTGATTGTACTGCTAATTAATAATAATAATTTGTCTTTGTTAACGTTCATGATTACTCATTGTAAAACTTAGTTACGCCTATTACGTGTCTATCATTATTTTAAACATTTTGATATCAAAGTCATTGAAATCGAATACGTGCTTCAATCTTCGTGAACATAAACTTGTTAACTATTGAGTATCAAAGTACGAACACATAGGTACATATGTACATTATACTCTCTAAGAATGTTAACACACAAACTTTAATTGGTATTTTCCACACAAGTTCAATTCACGCTTGACAGCTTGAGGTAGGTCAGACTCAAAAAGGTCGATTGAGGTAAACGACACTCAGTTTGTCAGCCGTCTAGCTTCATTATACACATCGAATTTAAATAACTTTCTATGAAATATACATAAACTTCGGAATTCTGTTAGTGTAACACACAAGTTAAATATTCAAAGACTAGCAAGAGTGCTAATAAATGAAAAATATTTTAAGTGAATTATTTTAGTCAATATGTCGTCTAAAAAATTTAGGTACCTACCTACGTCATGTTTTTTCTTTCACTTTTATCTCTTTTTAATGTCGATATCATAATATGTAATATGTACATAATTCGATTAAATAATGGCACATAAGGCGAACTTAATGCCATAAGGCATTCTCTGCCAGTCAACCTTAGGGTTCTATTCTCAAATCTTCGAAAAATAATGTACGGAGATTAAAACAATAGTAAAAAGAAACAATATGATAATTATATAAGTAATATAACTACATATATTACATCATAGTAATATGCATAAAATATGAAGATATAAATACTTACATAAATACCTATATCGACGAAGACCTAGCGATGCAGCGATATCTTACTCAAGGTTACAGGTAAGGGATGATACTAGAATACAACAAGATTTTTGAATTGTTCTTTAACGGAAACTTTTGATCATTAAATTGAATTTGGAACATTAAAAAAACCTTATACTTTCCAGAAGTTACTTTCCCTTATCCCCACATACCTTAATTTCAACATCACACACGGAATAACAACTCTTTAGTCCTTTACGTATAAAATTTTCACAGACATAGAACCTCCCGAAAGGTTACAAAGTCAAAACACGAATGAATAACTAGAT